ATATCACGTCCTTTCGTCCAGTACCTCATTAATTTAAGTACAGTTTATTTAAAACAATCATACTAAGAAGCACTCATAGTAAGAAGGGCACTTGAGGTCGTGTATAACCGTGTCATTTGTAAGGTAAGACAGATTTCTGAGAAAGAGTCTTACCTACCCCGGAAGATAATTATGTGAATTTTTTTTGAAAGTGTCTTAAATAAATTATTTGGTTGTTCTTTCAAATATGACGCCCAATCCTTCGACATAAAATTACAATATGTGGTTTTAATGTTTCCAATGCAACTAGTGTTTTCAAGCCCGTGAATGTGGTAATAACTTAGGTTGGTTATCTCTGTTGGTATTATCTATGACTGGTAATATCTGTGGTAGTAACGGATTCGTTGAATCTATGTATGGATATTCTTGTGTTTAGCGTTTTGACATTTGCTGCTATATATGGAAAGTAAGTTAAGATGAAAGCTTCAGGAAGTGCTGGCATTCAAGAAAAGATATGTCGTTTGTGTTTATCTGATGCCGGAGTTATATTACCAATTTTTGACGGAGAAGTTGCCGAAAGATTTTCAGTACCCTTGCCAATGAAAATCCGGGCGTGTGTTTCAATTGATGTGAGTAAATTTACCCGTTATGAAAATCACAGACACATTCGTAGTTATAAATTTAAGTGTTTCTACTTTGTATGCTGTTTGCTGAACGTTGTTTATATTTATGAAAAGGAACTGTGATCACAGCACTCATATCAATTACCACTGAACAATGCAATGAGAATCTGGGAAGAGTTTTATGACAATTAGAGGAGGTTGAAGCCGGCCTGTCTTCGTACTGTGATAATATTTGCATTTGAGTTATTATTTACTTCTAAAAATAGTATTACATGAATTTTAACATTCTGCATAAATGATGTAGGTTAGGTTTCAAGTTGTGCTCATAATAAAGTGAAATAGTTTGTACAGTCTACGAATGTTAGGTTACAATTTGAGTTAGTAAAACAGTCTTAGGTGAAGTATAATTTAACAAATGGCATTATTTAACTTTGTGCAGTATATGATTTTTAGTTGACATCCTCCCCCATTATTTTATGCCAAGCACAGTAGTGTAGAAGCAGCACTTGAGAAATGTATTTTGGCAGTGGGCAGTACCTGGATTTGAATTTTAGTGGGCTGTCAGTCTTGACCATTTCCTTCTGATACCTTACCTATTCACCATTTAAGGTCATCTTTCTACCTTATTCACCTATTTTATAACCTAAGCAGTTAAAAAACATTACTACTAAATAATCTAAAATTCAATCAAGCATTATTTTAGTTTTTCCTCCACAATGTCTGTCACAGGTATCTGTAAGTGATCCTCTTCCAAGTTTAATTTGTCACCGCTGTTTGTATGAAGTGGATCGCTTCCATGAATTCAAGGAGATATGTGAGAAGGCCAATACCACCTTACAACAATGCTTTAATAGACAAGATAATATTATGGATCTTACAAAGGTAACATAATATTATAAATTAAAGGAAATTAAGTAAGAGAGATACATTTTATGATGTAAATGTTTGCAAACAGGAGTACAGTTGTTGCATAAAGTAGGAGTATGGTATGTGCATGTGTGGGGAAACATGAAGGGTAAAAGTTTATTTCTATAGTGTGACTTCCTGTGTCACATAACTGGTATTGTTATGGTGCAAAAACTGCTTTAAATGATAAAAGGTAAAGTTATCTTTGTTTGTATATAAACACCATGCCATGAATAGGTTTGAGGTACCAAGTAAAGGTGAAATTGTCAGCTTCATGCTTCACCCCTGATCACTGGGTATGTGGTAATTATAAATTTCATTGTCAGATTTTGGCCCAGTGTCATGTGATAGCTTACTTGAATATTACATTCTGTTGCACTAAGGTATTATATATAGGAAATCTGCATATTTCCAGGAGCTTGATATTAATGATGCATTAGATGTTCACTACAGTAAATTTAGAAATGTAAAATTGATGAGATAAAGCTTACTGACCACTATAAATATGCATGATTCATATACACATATTATGATAATTACACCAAAACTATTAACAAATATACACAAAACATTTATTCTTACAGACTCTGAAATAAAATGTAAACAGACAGAAATTTGTAGTTGACAAAGTTAATTAATGTTGGAGGGTTGAATTATTTACTTTGCATTTAATTAAATTTCAGACCCAAATCATCAGGAAAACATTTTTTAGGTGTTTTCTACATACATGTTTAATACATTCCATGGATCCGTAAGTTATTGGTATAGCTTTAACCTTTGTGTTTCAGCTGATGGAAATCAAGCAAGAAGTATTTGATGAAACAGTATACCATGATGCTGTTGATGACCCCTTAGATGAGGAAGAAGATGAAGTTGATGATAACAATGACAGTTATGGTGATGATAATATAGGTGAAGGTGAAGAAAATTGTGTTGACAATGACCAAGGATCTCTACCCTGTCATGACAGCAGGTCAGGAACCATAAAGTAATTTTAGCATTTTGCATGTGGAATTGAAAGTCTCTGAACCTCTCAGGTGGATAAGTCAGACAGTCCCATGTGGATTACAGCAGATATTTCTAGCAGTCTTTTGTTCTGCATGCATTCCTGACACTTCTGTAAAAATATTTACATTCATATGTTAAAAGTTCTTGGGAAGTAGAGACAGTTTGTATGTATGTATATACATAACAACACACAGAAAATATGTCCATTTGTGATATACTGGATCCAGTCTTTTAATGTTTTCTGCATAAAAAGTAGTCATGTAAAGCTGTCCCACATATGCCATGTAGGTGCTTGGGAAGAGTGGAGGTATAGATCCTACTCATTCTTAACCTCATCACTAGATAGGGGTGAGTGGTCAGTGTCACGCCACGGCCATACATATAAAGTAGTCGTGTATGTATTATTGTTGATGATTGTTAAAATATTAAAGATGCAGAAAAATAACATTGTTTTTAATTCCTGTCTGAAGTAACTGATAATGCTTATATTGTATTTTGTTTCTAGTTCTTTCTTCCAGTATATGGAGGTGACTTCTTGATTTATATTAAATTTGCAGAGGCCTGTATGTATGGCTTAAAATATATTTAAATGTGTAAAATATCTGTTCTCATTCCATATGTCATGACACAAGCATTAACATTGAAGTCAAGCAGCATATGGTTTAAGTCTACACACTGAAAGTGATGTATTTTTCATGTTCACATATTCTTGTATTTACATTTGTAAACTAGTAAGTTCCTTCCCACACTGTACATCATTTTTACAGAGACTGTGATGATGGTGGCACTTCTGTTGATGTTAAGGACCAGATCCCTGAAGGAGAGAACAATTTTAATGATGAAAATAGAGATCAGAATATTGAGGATGTGTCTTCCATAACTGACATGCCATCCAATGAAATTCCTGGTGAAGAAAAGCAGGACACAACAGGTGTAGACATTACAAATCTTACACAACAAATCAGCCCCAAGCACAAAAATGCCGAAGTAAGACGAGCAAGATATTCCTGCCGCTTTTGTTCTAAACCCTTTGTATATCTCACAAGTTTACAGAAACATGAAGCTGCGCCTCATACTGGAAGAAACTGTAAGTTTTGCTTGAAACCATTCTCAGATATGGCAAAACTCAAAAAACATGAGAAAATTTATTGTAGACTGAAAAGTCATGTAACCAATATTGAGAAGACAAAAAAAGATGGACGTCAGCCTAAAGCGACAAATGAGGCAGAGGTTTTTTCATGCAAGTTCTGCTCCAGACAATTCAAAATTCGAGGCCACTGGTGGTGTCATGAAAGAATGTATTGTGATGCAAATCCTAATAGACTTACAGGCAGATCCAAGACTAGTGTACTTACAGAAAGAATGTATATCTGTAGGTACTGTTCTAAATCATTCATTCATCGTGGTAGCTGGTGGCGTCACGAGAAGTATTATTGTAACGTGAACCCATCATGTAATGAAAGGAAAGTGAGTACAGAGCTAGGACCAGTATCAAAAGAGGGAAAGACAGACCTTTATAGCTGTCATTATTGTTCAAAGTGCTTCATTCATCGAGGTAGCTGGTGGCGTCATGAGAAAACTCATTCCGGAACTAAACCATTTGCTTGCAAGTATTGTCCCAAAGCTTTTGGGGGGAAACCTCATCTCCTGAGGCATGAACGTGTTCATCTTGGGATAAAACCTTTCTGCTGTGGAATATGTGGGAAGGCTTTCTCTGATTCATCTAACTTACGAAATCATGAGAAAATCCATGATGGATATAAGTCTTTTCTGTGTTCAGTATGTGGTAAGTCATACTGTAACAAAGCTTTGTTGCTGAAGCATGAACTTGTGCATACAGGCATCCGTGCACACATTTGTGAGATTTGTAGCAAAACATTTGTTGATGCATCTGATCTCAAGAAGCATGTCAAGTGCCATAATGAGGTTCGTCCGTACCTGTGTTCTGAGTGTGGCAAGTCCTTCACGCAGAGCTGGCAGCTCAAATCTCACATTAACATCCATGCTGGACTGAAGCCCTATACGTGCCAGGTAATACTATTTATGTTCTCAGGACCTTGTGTTTCATTATACTTAGTCAGTGCTTCCATCTTTAGGTAGTTGGTTATTATTGTACTGACAGTTTGTTCTTTCCATCCCTTGTAGTAGTTTCTGGTATTGACCCTTTGAATACTGATGTGCAGTGAAAGCCCACCATTATTGTGGTTGATAAAATATTTGAAAAAAGTTCTCATTTCCATTTTGTCTCATTAAAGGCTTAGAAGTAAACACACACACGATGAGGATGTGTTACTGTGTTTATTGGCTTTAAGATGACTCCTATATGGACCTCTTAAAGTGACTCAGGTAGGTATACAGAATGTGTTTCTGATAGAACTTGCACTTATTAATCATCCTTTAACATCATAGGTAGTTTATGAGAATGAATGAATCTGCAAATTACATGTTCCTCTGGCTTCCTTGTGGTCTTCTGTTTTGGAAACTTTATGGGTGGGGTCTGGATTAACATAATTGTGGGCAGTTGGGTTCTCCTTGTATGTTGTGTCACAAATTTCTTTTACAAACAGTTCAGAAAGTTACTTGTAGCCATCAGGCACATATGACCCACCTAAAATTTCCCAGAAGTGCTAGATGATTGTTTAGGAAATGTTAAAACATTTCTAAACCTAACCTCATTAATTATGTCACATTTCACAGCACACAGAACTACCTCAGATGAAATGTGGAAGTCCTTACTAGTAGGCTGATCTTTTTATTGAGTCTTCTGGCTGTTAGTGGTCTTGTTTGATCAGCAGTTTATTGAACAAACATCTGCATCATCTCTTCACCTTACATCATCATCTAGGTTGCCAGAAAGAGGAGGGATAACTGAAATAGTGGACAGTTTTTCTAAGTGTCCTCTTCTTTTAACGTTGGTGCACTATATAATTTCAATAATATAAGTATGGCCTGAAGATGACATATTTAACGTTGAAATGTGTTGGTAGGAATGCCATGAACTAATTAGTATTTGTAAATAAGTTGTGTAAATGGCATAAATAAATAATAATACAATCTTTTTATGCCCTTATTTGGTGAAGAGTAATTTGTACTGTTTTCCAAATATTATGATGATCAAATAGAGGAGGATGAGATGGGCAAGACATGCAGCAGGCTTGGGAGAGATAAGAAATGCATACAAAATTTTGGTTTGAAAGCTTTAAGGGAAGATAGCACCTGGATATCCCAGATGTAGATGGACATGGTAATGAATCTTTTGGTTCCATAAAAGGCAGACTATTTCTTGACTAAGTGAGCAACTATCAGCTTCTCAAGAAGGGGACTGCTTTATGTAGTTGGTTATGTAGTTATATGGCTAAAGGCCTTTCCAACCAGTTCTTATTTGCAGCAATGGTTAACAGAGTGTAACGTTAGCTTAGAGTTTTGTGTTCTTTATTTTTCTTACCTGAACAATGTAGATAAAGGGAGCAAATTTATCATAACATATGTTGTTTGCAGATATGTCAGAAGGCATTCAGCGATTCATCCAACTTCCGATCACATCAGAAACTGCACATCTGTGGTCCACGCCCTTACCCATGTCCACAGTGCCCATTGTCATTCTATCAGAACTCACAGCTGAAGTATCACATGCGTGTACATACAGGGGAAAAGCCTTTTAAATGTCGCTTCTGTCCCAAATCATTCCGTATTCGAGCCAAGCTACGAACTCATGAAGAAAGTCATGCCCTTGAGGCTGAGCCAGAACTCTCAGCATCTGTGCCACAGATGCAGCAAGAGGAAGTTATAGTAGAAGTGATTGCAGAAGAAGTGATTGTAAGTACACCAAATGTGCAACTACAAGAAGAACAGAAGTAGTAGCCTTATCTTGATGGACAGTGTAGGAGAGACCTGCATCTTCAGCACTACTACAGATAAAGTGAACCTTAATGAATGCAGACTGTCACTTCCTGTAGTGTTGAGTTTTTTCTCATTATACTCAGCAGCAACAAGTACCTGTATGAGGGTATAGTCGAAAGTAATTGTAATGAGAAGTTATAAAATAATTCTTTGCTGTAATCAAGACTTGTTATAGCTGATCACAATCCTCAGAAATGTGCACAGTATAAAAAAACATTTTTTGTTCATGTCACAATAAATAACACATCAAATGTAAATGAACTTCTTGTAATTATGTGTTTGTGTCTGTGTGTGTGTGTGTATATATATATATATATATATAATGGACAGTGGAGCCCAGGTGAGTGAAGACAGCTCAGAACTTACAGTGTAGCAATACTGGTAGTGCTGTACTGGTGCCTGAGAGTAGCACTGTCACTGTGTCGCACAGTAGTTCCAATCTGCCCTCTTGCTCCATACATTTCCAGTAAAGTTGTTGTCCAGTCAGTTATTTTAACGGAAGGATGACAGTCTGTCATGTATCATTGTTCGTTGTGGCAGTTAATCATGAGATACTGAAACTGTTATTTGTGCCTAAAATCTCCATTGAAATGCTGTTATTTCATAGTTCCTTTATGATGATTTTATTTATTAATAACTCCAAAAGCCATTTGTTTATGGTTTCTTTTTCTTTGAAGTATTTGATAATCATGGGTATGCTTTCTTGTGTAATTATTTTTGAAGTAATACTGTAATTTATTCTAAATTACTGTTATAATTATGTAATTTATGAAGATGGCTGTCTCCTGGGTTGTTGCACTGTGTAGTGTGGTAGAAGTTTACCAATGTTTCAGAGGTCCTTGCTGCCTCCATCCATTAAGCTTCAACTACCAGCAGAATTTGTATGTGGAGTGAACTCACTGAATTATCTGGCACTGGCTTCTGTCATTGTGTATGGGTCACTCCGCCAACAGCTTCTTCCTTAACTTGTAGGTTTGTTGTTAAAATTCACTAATTCCATAGAGTTTGAAAAGGTAAGAGTTATCCAGCTGGTCAGAAAAATTCCCTACTTTTATAGAACTTTGGGTATATCGCTTTAATCAGCGAAAAACATTATTAGTGCATTTCTAGAGCCATTTCAGTACAGTTCATACTTTCACATTATATTTCTCCAGGAAATGCAAAATAACTGTGTTTATTCATGTATGTCATTATGAAAGGCACTCACTAGCTATGAAATATGGTAAACTGCATTCACGTTTGATATGGGCAAATGTAGGTTATTTTTGAAGTGCAAATAATAAATTGTACATTAAGATTTGTTATGATAGAAGAAAGAATGAATGAGCTTACAGTTACGGTACAGCATGCATGTACATACGTGTTCTTTTTCAGTCCACAAAGGAAAGAATGCACCTATGTTCTAGCTCTTGTGTAAATTTGAGTTGTCTTTAGGTCAAATATAAATGTCTGCTTAGATGAAGATTGACAACTCACTTCCTGAACTAATTAACTCCGTACAACAGAAGCCTTCTTATGGTACTTCCTTTCTGTTTTTATTCTTCAGCTTTCTCACCTTTTATATGTGTTGTTGGTTTCAGCTTAATTAATTGCTTCTGTCTTCTCAGTTCCATTCCCTCTTTAATCTCCTCTGCTTCACCACCTAATGTCACTTCATTGCAACCTTCTCTTTTCTCCTCCCATCAAAACTACATTAGAAGCAATATATTGTGTAGGATTTGAGGTTTGACGATGGCTGTCTTCTGGGTTGTTGTGTCATGTAATCTGGTAGAAGTTTACTGACAGAGGTCCATGTTGCCTCCATCATTAGGGCGATGAAGCGGTAAACTTCTACCAGAAGACCGCCATTTTCAAACGATATATTCATCAGCAACAATGCAAGTTTTATTTGGTCATCTTTAAGTATTGGGGAAAGAAACTTCTCATGAGATTTTCTATCGTTGTATGGGACCGGTGCCAACCCATCATCGTGAGGAAATTGGGGGAGCTACAATGGGTAGCATAATCCAGTCATGAAAACTAGCAATGGCTGGGGGTTCGTTGTGCTGACCACACGTCATCCTATATCTGGTTGGATGATCGTTCACCTCTGCTTTGGCTCTCATAGGGCTACGGCACGGACTATTATTATATTCTTTGTCAACATACATAATGCCTATGTCTGTTGCATAGTTTCAACTTTTATTCTTTGGCTTTATCTTGCATTCTGCCAGATAAATTGTATTAATTTTCGAAACTGCCTCTCTTTTTTGTTAATATGTAAGGTTGCTTGGATACTGAAACCAATTAATCATACTAACTGTAGGCAACCATCACCCCGGAATCTTGGAAATACCATCGTGTTAATCTGTGATTAGAATCGAAAAAAGAATCGAGTTTGGTAAATTTACACTATTAATGGTAGAAGGTAGATTTATAGGACGTTTAAGGAATTGTAACACTCTTCAGTGCGTTATATCAAACGTGAGTAGTTGAACTATGGAACACCTTCCTTTCAATACTGGCCAGATTCAGGTAAGATTCAAAACATCGATATTTTCTGAAACTACTGTATTCCAGTTTAGTGATCTCTGGGAGAACAAGTGTCTGGTTGGGTTTGGTTTGTCGTATGTTACTTTGTGTTGCACAATTAATCAGTTATTGAGCAGTGAAAGTTTTTTGTATCATTTTTTGGCTGCACAGATTTGCTGTATATTATTTTTCTTGTTATGGAGTCCAGTTATGATGAGGATTTGGATGAAAATTCGTTTTTTCAAGCACTGAAAGTCGATCATAATGATCTGTTTGGAAAAGCTATATTGGAAGGTTGGGTTATATGTGTTCCTCGTGCCGGGTCACTACCGAAATACACGCTTACTAATGAAGACTTCTTCAGTCACATTCTTATACCAAGTGATGAACTGCCACAGAGTCATTTTAGGACACTGAATGACAAGGAAGTAAAGGTGTGTAACAGGTTAATAACTGTGGAGCAGAACGATATTTCACGACCATATAGCACTCACATTCTTTTCGAAGAAACATTTTACACCAATGATTTTTTGAAGTACAAAGTTGTGTGTCTAGAAAGTCCCCTGGAGCAGTACATAGACTTCAGTTGTGGACAAAGTGATGAAACTAGAATTGTTACTGTCCAGACTTTAAGGGACTGTATAGACCTTCTTTGGACACAGAGTGCTGGGAGAGATGTCATAGAAAAGATGGATGAAGCAATTCATAATTTTCTTTCTGTTAATAGCAGTCTTGAACTAAAACCTCTTCAAGTTCAGAAGGATATAGTTGGTACATTATATGTATCGTGCTTGCAGATTGCTTTGAAAGATGCTCGACTTAGAGAAAAATCAGACAAAGACAGACACCTACTGGAAAATATTAAACTTTCAGTTGAAACGTATGTGCATCATGGAATTTATAAGAAGTTAATAAAAGCTATAACAGCATGCACTGCTTATGATGATGCCTGTCTAAATAAGGTTGTTCGTAATCTTTCTGATGTTCAGTTGCGAGATCTTGAAGTGAGGCCAGATTTATACGAGACAGTTCCACAAGCAAAGCGAGAATTAGCAAGAATAGAAGGCTATAGTACTGTTCTTGGGAAGATTGGTTGCTTGAAACGTGTGATAGCATCCATCTCAAATTCAAATCTTGAAACCAGTTCTGGAGAGGGAATGAGTGAAAATATCATTGTTGCAGATGATTTGTTGCTAGTGATTGTGTTTATTATTATTAAAACAAGTCTTCCTAACTGGATTGCTCACCTAACTTATATGAAGCAGTTTCGGTTTTCTTCCTGTTATGCTTGCCATGTTGATGAATACAGTTTCCTTATTACCACACTTGAAGCAGCTATTGAGCACATTAGATCTGGCATTCTTCTTGGTCCATCAATTCCTGAAGCACAGTGTGTTTATGAAAGTCAAAATGACAGAGATGGCTGTGATAATGTGAATGTGAAAACTGTAAATAGTAGTAAAAATGGAAGGTCAACAATAATTGAAACATCATGCGTAACATACTTATTTGATCAAATTAGGTTGGGCAATTTGGAAAGCGCCCAAGAAATTCTATCAAAAAGTCTGAGTAGTAGTAATGCCATATATTCTGACAGCAGACCAATGAAAAATAATGGGGACTTTCTTTCTTGTCTTTGTCATCCCCTATGTTCCTGTGACAAATGTGAAAGTCTCATTAGCAAAAGTCTTTGTGATACAACACCCACAGTTCATTCATGTGATGATCGAGGCTTTACTGCTCTTCATGTTGCCTGCCTTTTTGGGCATCCTCTTATTGTGGATCTGCTGCTTTGCTCTGGATCCAATAAGAATGCTTTGGACTACAGTGGGTCTACTCCTCTTCACTATGCTGCAGCCAGAGGTCATCAGAATGCCTTACTCTTGCTACTCCATTCTGGAGCTATGATTAGCATTCCTGACAATGATGGCAACACTCCCCTTCATCTGGCTTCCAACAATGGCCATGAAGTGTGCGTCAAAGCATTGCTGTACTTTGCAGAACACACAGGTTTGAAATTGGATGCAAATGCCAAAAATGTGTATGGTGATACCCCTCTTCACCATTCAGCACGATGGGGATATGAGGGTATAGTACAGATACTATTGGAGTATGGAGGACGTCCAGATGTGGAGAATAAACGTCATTTAACACCAATGGACAATGCTCACAACCTGCATGTTTCAAAACTGCTAACCAGTGTGAATAAAACTATTCATAATTCAAAGCCTGTGACACAGGACAAGAAATTAGAAAATTGTACAAACATTGCAGCTGCTACTGTACCAGCATTGGACTTCATGGATGATTGTGTGAAATTATCAAGTGGGACTGTGAATACACCAGAGAAGAAACAACATGGTATTCACCCTCAATCAACAGAACAAATGAAGAGAGTGGAGAGGCTGTTGCGAGCAATTGCATTTGGAGACACAAGATTAGCATGTTTTTATTTGGGTTTCGATGGTCCTGTTTCAGATTACAGTAATTGTGAAGAGCATCCACCATCAAATATTAAATCCATTTGCCATCCATTATGTATTTGTGAGAAGTGCAAACCAGATGATAGTGGACTCTTTGAGGATTCCTTAAAAGTAGATAAAGACATTTTAAATGTCAGTGTTTGTAACTCTGATGGTTTTACTCCTCTGCATATAGCATCAATGCATGGACATACAGACATGATGAGACTTCTCCTTGATGCAGGTGCTCAGATTAATGCAGTGACTAGAACAAGAGGTGTTACTCCTTTGCATCTTGCTTGTCAAAATCAGCAGACCCAAGCTACAAAACTTCTTCTCCAAAGTGGGAAGTGTAATCCAGATATTCAAGATTCTAGAGGGAATACTGCACTGCATTATGCAAGTTTCACACGAGATCCAAGACTAGTAGAACTTATATTGAAACACGGTCCAGTTTTGGACCTTAGAAATTCCAGTGGTAAGACACCATTAGATGAAGCAGAGGAAAAAATGGCCTTGGCAGTTGTGCACCTTCTCAGAGGTGAAAAAACAAGTATCTCTCTTCCTCGGGAAAAGTATAAAGATGTTTAATTTTGAGATTGACATGTTTAAACTGTGCCTTTAAGTACAGATGCTTTCATACAATTACCATGTAAAGAGTAACAGTACTCTCATGAAAATAATATTTTCTAGCATTCAGATTATGAGGAACAGATTGAGGGTCTTTCAGAACTTCAGGAAGATATTTGGACCTAAAAGGGTGGGAGAGGGATCATGCAGAAAATTGCATAATGATGAGCTTTACAGCCTGTACTCCTTACCTGATATTGTTAGGATGATTCAATTGAGGAGATTGAGGTGGGCAGGACATGCAGAATGCATGGGGAAGGGGAGTAGTGTTTACAAGGTATTGGTTAGGAGGCCTGAAGGGAGGAAACCACTGGGAAGACCTAGGTGTAGGTGGGAGGATAATGTTAGGATGAACCTTAGGGATATAGGAATTGATGGAGCAAACTGGCTACTGCTAGCTGAGGATAGAGTCCTGTGGCAGGCTTTTATGAACACGGTGATGCACTTTTAGGTTCAGTAAAGAAAGTGGGCTATTCTTTGACAAGCCAAGTATACAATAAACTTTTCAAAGAATTTCCTGCAGTGAGTGAGTGAGTGAGCATACAGATTATAGCAGAAGTACAGCTTATTTAGATGTGTTAGTGCCAACATGTGTAATTAGGCATGTGCAATTACTTGTTTATTGTTAAATATAAGAAAAGCAATTTGAGTCATTTTCTGGTGTTTCTGTAGAACCATCGAGCATACAGAATATTTACAACACAGGAGACAAAGGTACCTGCAGTCTGTTATGTCTCATGAATATTTCTACATCTTTGTATGATGATGATTTACTTCTTTATCAAGGATATGCTAGGCAGGCATATGAGTAGAGTAGCTGATTTACAGGAGACAGTTCTTGCACTTATTTTATTTGATAAATGTGCATTATTAGTGTTCAAATATCCAAATATAACTCTGTTTCTCTTTATAAAGCAGCATCAGTATTAAATTACATACATCCCATTATTTTATGTTCTTAGACCAAGTATCTCTGATTATGCAAATATGTTGGTACACTGTTCTGGCATGGTGACCTTGATATATATTGAGAGATGGGGAAGCATTCAGTAGTGTCACAAGGCCCAGAGAAATGTTGACAGAAAGTAACATGAGGTTGATGTTTTATTCATGCTGAACAGTTTTATTCAATGTGTTGGAAGGGATAATAATTCTGTACTGCTTGTAACTAAGAGCTGGGGTAACTCAATTGAGTACAGTGTCTGACTTTGGACTAGACAATTGGGGTTCAGTGCCTGGCAGAGGCAAAGGATTTTTCTTCTTGCCTGTTCCCATACCCAGCATCCTATCAAATGGGTACCAGGGACCCTTTCCCTGGGAAAATCATGGCTGGGGCTTGATGCTAACTACTCACTCTCATCTAGAGCTTAGGGTAAGAATGAATAGGAGTTATACCACCTATCCATCGAAATGCCTTTATGGCATGTAGCAGGGCAGCTTTGGCTTTTCTGCTTGCAACTTCCTTTTATAAAGTAGGTCAAACCACTTCCTTCTATACTCATTCCAGTTCTCATTTGCTGCTGTATAATATCTGCACTTAGTGTAGTAATATTACAAAAAGTAAGAAACAAAACCTTATTGAGGGAAAAAAAATGTATCCTTAGTATTATCCTAGTCAGTATTACACAAATGCTTCATTGTGTAGAGACTCTGTTGTTAGGGCATGCAGTATGTTCTTACGAGCATACATTAATGAGTGTTTACATTAAACTTGTGAAAAATGAATTTTTTAAATAAAGTTTTGCTGTAGCTAAGCCACATTTCAATGAAAGCATGCCAAGCACTTTTCCTGTCCTGCCTATCTTTCCTGCTGCATTTTGCTCAGCCAGTGATAACCTTCACACTGTGTGGTGTGTTGCATACTGTACTCAGCAGTAGCACTTTTTATCTTACCTCGATAACATAATTAGTATTGTTTACTTAAAATGAATTGTTATTCATTGTAATAAATGTATGTGTGCACTGTATACATTTGGCTCTGCTATTATTTATACACAATGGTTCATCACAGTTCTTTTTGGTGATTCAGCTTGCAAAATACTGACACCTCCATTCATTGTGATGGAGGAAGGAAATACATAGAGGTGCAAGTTGAAAAAATTGTCTCCCTTTCCACATATTCATTCTAATGCCCTTCTCAGTAACTTTGTTCCATTTGTTCTTTTTGAAATGCAAATGTCATCTACTGTCAGAATGTTAGAGAATTAAGACAGCTGCATTGATTTCCCTATAGGTACTTGTCCAGTTGAAGGTAGTACATTTAATATTGTGATTTCAGTAATTATTTCAGGATGACAGTTCAAGAGATCTTTACTGTATGGATGTTGACAAACAGTTGAGGGAACATGTCCATGCCATACTAACCAAGCTAGAACTGACCAGATTATGCCAAATGTGGATAATCAAAGTTTTATTGTAGTAGTAACATTAATTTTTCTAAGAAAAAACAGTTTATTTTCAGATTATTTTTGGTCCAATGTTTTCTGGGAAAACTACAGAATTAATACGACGATTGAAACGTTACCAGATAGCAAAGTACAAGTGCCTTATTATAAAATATGCATGTGATGATCGCTACAGTGCAAGTGACATTGTTAGTCATGATCGTCAGTCATTGGCAGCTGTTTCTGCAAGAAAGATTACAGATTTCGGATTCAAAGTTCTTGAGTATGATGTTATTGGTATTGATGAAGGCCAATTTGTAAGTAGCATATTTAACCTTTTGCATTTAATGCATATTTTAACTGTAAATTTAAAGTGTTATGGTTCAAAATATTTATGAGATGTGTCAAACTGAAGAGTAATATTCAAGCTTTTTTTAAGCAGCTCATCCATGGTTACACTATTAGAAAGCTGGTTTCCGTTTAACATTATTCTTTTCTGGAAGCAGAGAAGTTAATATTTAATCTATAAAGTATTATAAATTATGTCTATATTGTTGTTTTTAGTATAATGAAGTTTCATGATGATGTTTCATGTGGTATGGCTATTTATTTTGGAAATAAATTCTTTAGGCAGTATTATTAGATTTGGTTGTTCTTTTACAGTTTATTTAATTTAGAAAAATGAATTAAACCAGATACAGATATAGGATCTTCTATTGTAGCAGGTACTCAAGAAGGAAAGGAATTGTTTTTAGTGTATAGAAGTTAATTTATTTTGTTGTACCTCACAATTGTCAGAAAATTGTAGTGTGGGCTGGCCAACAGGGGTATGTTGTTCAAATCTCAGTCAGGTCAGAAAATTGTAGTGTGGGCTGGCCAAATGTCCCCATAAAACAGTTAACAAAAGGCCAGGTATTTACATATTTTAGTTTATCATGTCTTTTAATAGGAATGCCTCGACTTGATTCAGGGGTATGTTGTTCAAATCTCAGTCAGGTTAATAGGTGCTGCAACTTTTTTTTTTCATGCTGGTGTGATAGATTAAGAATATCTCCTTTCACTTTCCTGTTTGTTTACCATTTACAATCTTTCCAGCTCATTCTCTGTCACGTAATGTTGGCAGTTGAATAATTGTACTTAAATAATGAAACAATCAGTCCACAATTAAGTTCATTGCTGTAGTTTGCATTTACCAGATATTGAAGGAATGTATTATTATTCCTAACCAGGTAAGTGACTGTCAGTTTCTTATTTCCATTACAGTTTCCTGATATAGTGGAGCGTTGCGAAGAATTTGCAAACCTTGGTAAGATAGTGATTATAGCAGCACTTGATGGTACATTTCAGCGAGTTGGGTTTGGGAACATTTTGAACCTTATTCCTTTGGCTGAAAATGTGGTGAAACTTAATGCTGTCTGCATGATATGCTTCAGAGAAGCTTCTTTTACGAAGAGGATTGGTAGTGAGACAAAGGCAAGTAATGTTACTATTCAGAGCTTGTGCTGAGATGGCTTTATTATAGCTCATAAAATATGTCCATGTTACTTTATATCAGGATTGTGGTGTGTGTTTGGATCTCATTAAGCTATCTCCTAACTAATTACTTCTGATAGTAGAGCTCACCTGTTGAATATCACTAATACCAAAGCAGTGAGTTTGCACAATTCCTGACCCTCAGACTTAGCAGGCTGTTGTGAACATGGCTGGGGTACAGCTACCTTCTCAAGAAGGGCAGTGCTCCTTGGATTGAGTGACTTGGTTTGTATTTGGAAGTTAATTTTGTGTCTTGAATGGAATGGACTTAAATAGCATAAATAAAGTACTTGTTTATGCTAATGATTTTAATTTGTGTGGGGTAATTTTAAGTGCCATGCAGATGAAAGGTGCATCATGCTTAACCTCATGAAGCCAAAGCTCATCTACATAATTATGAATAATTAAATCTGTACCCAACAAAAACATCACACTTTATCATTACAAAGATCATATAGTTTATGCTGTTTAAGGAAATAATTGTCTATACTGAGAATCATAGGAAACCCATAAATACAAAATGCAGACTTAACTGATTGTTAATGCAGGTGATCCTTAAAGTTCCTAGGGTTAATGTGTTAAAATAGGCATGTAACATATTTTATATAACAAAACATTAAAATGTATTGATATAAAATTCTGTACTTAACCAACAGATTCAACACTATGTAATCTATAAAATTAAAGTTTCGTTACATGCCATGTGGGTCGTTTGAGGGGAGAGGCAGTGCAGCTCCTACTCATTATTGACCTTGGTACTAGATGGGGTGAGTGGTCAGAATCATGCCCCAGCTGTGCTTTACCCTGGGAAAGGTCCTGAGTACCCAGTGGATAGGGGGCTGGGTGGACCCCAGAGCAGGTCTGGACACAGGCTAGAGAAAAAATCCTCTGCCCCCATAGGGGATTGAATCCCAGTCGTCCAGCTCGTAGCTTGTCTTTATACTGACTTTGCTATCCCAGATCTTGCTATATATATATATATGAGCTACTCAAAAAGCACATTTAAATAAACTATAAATAAATAAATTTACTAACAGATGGTAGAAATAGCTTCTTTAATTCCAGTGTTCTCTATGCATGATTACAGAGGAAATTTGTTGAGATCACTGCTGAAGTTGCAGCCCCATAAATAGCCTAAAAATAGTTTGTGCCTACAGTGCTATATTAAGGCACTGATAATTATTTTATGAAGATCTTCCATTCAGACTTTATTTTTGGATCGTCAGATTGTATGATATTGAGGTTTCTAGTCTAATTTATTTCTGTTTATATTGCATATGTACACACACATTCAGTTAAACCATAAATATTTTTTCATTCAGTTGGAGGTGATTGGTGGTGCAGATAAGTACATGGCTGTCTGTCGAGATTGCTACCGTGAACCTGTTGTGTCAAGATCTCTACAGAAGCAAACAGATAATGAGGTCACAAAAAATATGGACGTTATTAATTGCAAGGTGTCACCTAAGAAATCATTGCTTCAAGAAGGAGCAGTAACTGTTTGCATCTGAAGCATTTTGTGCTTCATTCTGCAAAAATTATTGTTACATGTAGGCAACTATTATGTTATGTGGTCTAAATATATAATAAGCATGAATAAATTTTACACCCATTTTAAGCTGTTTATAAGAGTGCATCAAAAGTTAATGTTCATAAGTCTAAAATGAAGAGCAGTAAGAGGGAACTGCCAGAATTGTTAGTTATTAACATGGAATTTTGTGTGAAATGGTCTCACTGCACTGTGAACATTGACATTTTGCTCTAGTTTATTTGTTGGGTGAACATATTTTAGGTAAATAAGTGGATTTGCTCTGAAACCAGTGTTTACTGTGAATTTCTAGTTTGAAAATGGTGATAGTGATTCAATTCAATAACTGAGGTCATGTTTGTGGCTGCTGTCCTTGTTGAACATACCCTGTTGCCTTCAAATCATCATAGTAGTTTCACTATTATTGTGGATAGATGGCAGTACGGTTGTATGTTACGTCATTCACCACGTGCGTGGTCAATTTTTAACTTTGTCTGTGATCTGTATGTATCTTTGTGTGGAAGCATTTGTATAGCTACGCCGTTGTCAAGGACACGTGGAATAAGATTTTTGAATTTAGGATGGTTTAATGTGACCGGTGAGATGTGGAAAACAAGTGTTTTGGACTTTCAAGGCACAAATGGACAGTGTGAGTAAACTGCTGTTGAATTCTATGGTGGTGGTTGTCTGTAGTCTGGTAGAAGTATACCGACGTTTCAGAGGTCCTTGCTGCCTACAGCCATGTTCAGGCTCACCGCCGTGAAAACCCTATATATTGAATTCCTTACCGTATATGACTGAAAAGACGAAGGGAAGTCATTAGCATGCGTGAACTTTCACTATCGGCACTCAATAAATAGTTCAACGTTGATGCATGTTTATTCTGAGCAAAAACCACAAAAATTTGAACAATTGCAGTTCCATTAACATTTTATATGTAAGGCTCTTACAAATAATGTGCCCTTCCTTAATATGTTTTATTTTGACGATATCTTAAATTTATCCTCTACTGCCATCTTTATATATTATAACCTAAGCGTTTGTGACATTTCGACAATTAAAATATTAAGTTGCCATGGACATGTAATAAATTAAGGGCGGATTAATTCCTAATGCTTGTTACCATGCAGCACAGAATGTTCTGTATTCGTAGCTGCTATAACAAATTTTAGGGTACAGATTAACTAATTTTCCTTGACGTTTTTTATGAAGTATGATTTTATAATTCACGGCGGCGAGTATGAAGGTAACTGTCTTATGAATTGTGGCGCCATGTAGTCTGGTAGAAGCACACAGACGTTTCGGAGGTGCTTGCTGCTTCCATCAGGCAGCTCTGAAACATCTACCAGATTACATGGCACTGTAACTCATCAGAACACTCCATGACAAAGTCGTCGACAAATGTTGGCGTACAATCATCACTGGACCTTCCTGGTAAGTTACGGCAATTCATACTGCAAGGAAATGTACATTTGCCCAGAGGTGGCCCCTAAAAATGTGAGGTCCAGTCAATTTGTTAAGAATGATGCCAAACCACATGCTTATTGCTTACTTAGTCTTACGAGCATTATCAGGATGTGTGGTATGCTATAATCTAAGGTCAATAATGGTAATCTGTTCATGTTTTCATGACTTCATATTCTCCAAACAAATTGTTCTGAATAGTACACATGTTAAAACACTTTCTATTCAGATAGTGAACTTATTGTTTCATCCTTCTTTCCATATCAGTTCTTTGTGGCATCTTTCCTAGCATCTTGATCTCATTTTACCTCTTCAGTGTAATGTTCAAATTGTATTTACAAATCCTCAGTATTAGTAATAAATACCCGTGTTTTTGCGAAGCTGCTGCTTATAAATGAAAACAGCAAGTCTTGAGATGTGTTAATAAAAATTTGTTTTAAATTTAATCCTGTGAAATGTTCCATTAGTGACCAGTGTACAATAAAACATGGTTTACAATATGCATGGGAATATCACATTCCTTTGTGCATTATATAAAGGTACAACCATCCTACATTAGATGGTATGTTTCATGTATTTGATACTTTCTATACATTTTACTTTTGTGTCTGCAACAGTAAGTTCAAACTGATAATAAAAGTGTGCAAGTGTAAAGGAGACATTACCTTATTGAGTGCCTACAGGTAGAACATGATAGTCTTAAAACTGAGATTTATTGAAACTGATATAAATTGTAACAACATTCAACAGATATATAATTGTGGTCTTTTCGTTCAATAATATGTAATATACAACTATGTTACATTATCATTCAATTCAGTCACATTTACTGTTAACATAAAATATATGCATAGGAGCCTGAAGTTGTACATTCATTGTGAAAATAAGCCCCATTTCTGGACCAATTATCAGTGTTTTGTTTTTGTGGGTTTACATACTTTTTAATAGAGTATGAATTTATTTAATATTACATTTTAAAAATATCACAGTCATAATACTTAACATGTACACAAACACATGCTAGAAAAATACATATAAAAATCACTACATCTGGAACACTATGACAATACACATTTACTGATGCACATGTTTTGTATAGAATGACAATAGTGCATGCCCATAAAACAGTCACTTCATACATAATAACAAATTAGCATAACTGTTGCTGCATCATTCAACATGTATGAAAGTCCCTTGAGAACATAATGTGCACTGCACCAATTGGGATAACACTAGTTGCATATAACAAGAGGTGGAAAGGCTTGGTTAAAAAATATAACACTCTAATGAGAGAGTTACAACTGAAAATATTCTACAGCTCCTTCACAATATATAAAACTACATTTTGTAATTCCACATGTGCATGCACACAGAAACACAATATTTAAAAATGTTTGACTAAAAGTATTTAAGGTAAAATTCAAGCTTTCTCCTACATATTCCATTACTTGAATTTCATGGTGTAGTAACAAAACTAAAACAAGGCAGTGCATTCACTGGAATTTCATCCCTTCAGTAGTGATTTCTGTAAATTCCCAAGCTAGAAAAAACCATGACTGTTTCTTTCTTTAGCCTAAACAATTCATTCTTGGATATTCTATTATACATTTATCTTCTATTAATGTCTGATCATTGGTATTCACACATTGTGTTAATTTTACCATAAAACATCTAGTCAACTGACCTGCAGATTTGCATTGTGCCACTTTTGTGATGGTGCAACAAAAACAATGCTCAGTTTATCACTCAGCATCTTTAAAAAAAATATTTGAAACTTGCTCGCTTTGTGAAACATTTTTCACTGGTGGACAATCAAATGTTTATATGCACTGTTATTTTACATGTAAATATTTAACTGTCTGCCAGTAAAAAGTGTTTTAGCAAGTGGCTGTAATCTGGGATGCTGTGCCATGTAGATACTGTCTTGAGTTCCTATGAAACATCGGTCAATATCTACAAAACTGCAGAACACCCCACAACACATCCATGTTCCTAAAATCACTTATGTTAACTACATAATAGCTTGTATATCCATCTGGGCTGGATCTAATCACTTACCAAGCTAGCTCTCCCAACTGCACTTAACCTCAAAACTCACTAAAACATGCTGGTCCAACACAGCTGTTTCCTTTCCTCATTTCCGTATGCACATACACATCCTACTATATTTATACCCCCAAAAAAGAATTGGTCATAAAACTACGTGAGTATAAACTAAATAGCAAAGCTGGCAGATATTTTTCTTTCAATTCTGCTGTTGTACCATAACCTCATTTGTGCCTACTTCCACTGCCTTAAGGTTTGGTTCCACTAATGCAGTAAACCTGCAACTACTAAATGCAGTGTCAGACATAGTAGACAAGTTTAGCTAGTGCTGCAGAAGGTAGCCATTCCCAGTTATAATGTGGATTCAGAACATGGGTGCTGTGAAAGCAAAGAATAGGGCAAGGAAATAACTCATCTGCCATCACAGGAAAAGATTAAGAATAAGAATTTGTAATATTTTCTAGAAACAGCACGAAGAGGGAAACTACCAATATTTAATCAGAATAAAATCATCTTCCCCCTCCCCCCAACTGAAAGTGATGTGCCATTCTTAGGCATATATTTTTAAATTTCATCAGATTTTCTTCAGGTTTACAAGAGTTATATGAACTGAACATTGTAGTCAAGTGGTTAACATATTTGGGAAGTCCCAGGTTCAAATCTCGGCACGGAGACCTGGTATTCTAACTGGGGTTTTTGTGATATTCCTTAGTACATCCCGGCAATTGCCAGGATAGTGCCTTAAATTAGGCCATGAACACTTTCTGCCACATCCTTTCCAATTCATTATTCACTATCATTCTCTAATTCAACACTATACAGTCTGAGTTACTGAAAAAGTTTCATTAAATAAACTATGAATAAATAAAATTAGTTATAAGAGCATCAACATTTATTTCTCTATGCTTTTCTATTAAAATTTAAAGGGGAAAAATATCACTGTATAAGAATCCTCTTCCAAGTCTACCAGTTTCAGTTCCTCATTATGAGTAAATGCTTTACCAGCCATTATGTTACACAAATCAAACATGCTGCTGTAGTAGGGTACACTGAAATGCTATTGTAGTGGTCACTGCCTTTAATGCTGCAGCCTCTACAAGCACCACTGCCAAATTAGCATAACTCTGATTATAAATATGTTCTGTTTTCAATATTCTGTCAGTCACTTGTGGGAGGTAAAGACTTGGGTAATGTCCACACTGCAGTGGCTTCTGCTGATTTATGCCTGTGATGCTTCTTAACTGTCTGATTTCTATCGTCATTCTTTAGCTGTTTGTATTGTTGCCTAAATGAAGGCAGAGCTTGCTTCTCATAATCTACAGCTACGGGCAATGAGTTCTCTGTCTGAAAAATTTCGCTTGGCTTCAGATCAGAACAGTCTGTTCGCTTCAGTTCTGGTCTATGTATAAAATCTGGAGTATCGTAAGTACCAGTTATTTCAAGGGTTTTTCTAGTGTCAGTTTGTCTCCCCACATCTCTCCATAAAACAAGATTTTCTGGAGAGTCTCTACTGTACTGGGTGTTATGCAAGTGTCTTGGTTGATCTGTTATATTAACATTATCTCTGGCCCTGGCAAGATCTATTTTCTGATACAAATGTCGAGTAGGATCATCTTCAGCTCTCCAGTTTTCAGACTTTAAAGCATAAGAATCTCGTCTAGTATTTCTAAATCTCTTAGGTGAACTTTCTTTTCTGTTTCCACCTCTATCATTCCGTCTTCTTATATTAGGTGACATTTCACTGTCTTTTCTTGCTTTAAAATTATTCTGTTTGAAGTATTGTTGCTCACTTATGTCATTTGGGATTTGTGTTTTATCTCTCTTAGCAGTATCTGGTTCAGGTTTCATTTTTATCCATTGCTGCACTGCATTAAGTTTATTATCTGCCAGTGTTACACTACTGTAGGCACTGCATGCATCTTTACTACCATTTACATACAAACTCTGACTGAAGATATAATCCTTATGATAATACTGGCTGAAGATTGGTTCATTTTTAACACACTGCATTGTTATCCATGTGTGTAGGAGAAGTAGAGGGAACCGCTGAGTCCAATAATCAATAAATTTATTGGGTATTTCACCAAGAGACTGCTGGGCTTCCTGTGACAACTCACGATAATGGTGTTTCTGTGGAAAAGTAACAAAACTTGCATTAAAAGTATGTTCACCCAAGGCATTGCTACATACATACATATGTGCACATACATACATGATTGAACATGCATATATATGCCATCATACACCTCCACCTTAATACAATAGTTCACCCAAGGCATTGCTACATACATACATATGTGCGTTCACCCAAGGCATTGCTACATACATATTATGTGTACATACATACATGATTGAACATGCATATATATGCCATCATACACCTCCGCCTTAACACAATTAAAAAAAGTAGGATGAAAATAGACAGGAAAATACGTTCAGTTTAAGTTGACTATTAATACTATTGTGGGTGTTGAACGTCCGGGTTGTTTAAAACCAGGACTTCATGATTTTACATAATCAAGGTTCACCAGTCAAACTGATAGGATTATTATCATCTTTTGTTTGGTATGTTAGGGAAGCAGTCGGCTGAAGCAAGACAGAATGTTGATCATTAAGAAACTTTAAATGACTGCAAACAAGTATGTAAATGGCTTTTCAGAAATTGATACACATTCCAAAAGTGGGGTGAATGACCAACAAATTTACAAACATTTTCAAAATGCAATGCTAATGACAAACATCATGTCACTTGTTGCCTGCCAACTCCTTAAGTGTTCATTTAACATTATTCTTTTGAACAATGTATGTCATCCTAAGACAAATTTAATGTACTCTTTCCAACACATTAATAAAAATACCTTACTCACCTTGTTACGAAGTGCTCGCAGTAAATCTCTTACACTTGTACCACGGTAGTTACGATATTTCCTGAGATCCTGAGCTACTTCTGAGTCAATCACATTTCTCCAGTCATCTCTGACCACATTGTGGGCTCCTTGTTCTAAGGCTTGTAACACTAGACTCTCCTGGTCATCTTTCTCCACACGATCACTTACATCCTGAAATAATATCATCATCAATCTTTATACTCTATCAGATCTGCCACATACATGATCAAAATAAATTAAATCCTGTTAAATGTTGCAAGTTTATGTGTACATACAGGACAGGATCCTAACGGCAAGTTTATGTTTCAGAAGTGCCGATCTGAGAGGTTCTAGTTATCTATCATTCAGTTTTTGTAACCTCAGAACAGGTCTAATGAGCTTAAACCTTGTAAGGAAGAAGGAAAAGAAGAGTAATTTATGTATCATACCTGGAAGAAAGTCAGAACCTGATTCTTGTTCCAAAAGATGGGATGTATTCTCACAGCACTTGCTGGTGGACGTTCCATTGGATCTGAACTAATCATCTGCTCCACAAGTATTCTTTGAAGTAGTTTCTCTTCCCCTTGTAAGTCACTGAGCCTGTAATGTAGGGTTTATAGTGGTTTACTAAAGCATCACAGTCCTATAGAATAAATTTCATACAAAAACTGGCTGATAAACTATTTTATTGTTATCAGAATAGCCAACATAAAAAGAATATTGCATAACTTATGATGCCTGATTTCCTCCAGATATGGTTGGCCTACAGGAGTGACAAATAATTATTCTGTTCAGTGATCTATTTCTACTAGATAAATTTTAACCATGAAATTTCCCGTGTTACATCAAAGATTTGCACTGTCATCATGACTGTAATTGTTCACATACTGAATTTGTAGGTATGTGTAAGATCTATTTCCATACAGAATCTCACATGCCTAGCTCCACTGGTCCATTAGTTATTGCCACCAAACCTGACACCAAATGCAGATTTTGTGTGGTGGCTGTGTACTCTGTATGAAATGCTCTTTTATAATTTTATTTTCAATTTTATATTAACTGTAATGTAGTACCTGAACTCTCCACTGATAATATTTCCTTGTCTTCTCAATGCATCCCCAAAAGGATGATTACCATTTGAGAGGACATAATGAAACACGCAACCAAGAGAGAATATATCCACTGCACATGTCTGGAATATAAAACATGGTTCAATACAAACTGAAGAATTATAACAATAATTTGATAAAGCACATCTTCAAGTATAATGAACTGTCTGTAGGTTTGAAGACACTTTTGTGTTTCTGCTATTCAGAGGTGTATCTGTCTAGCATTGTTTCGCAGACACTTAAGGCTGCATTCTTTCAGTAATAACGGACGTGATTCATAGGTGTTTTAGTGACCACATATGCCCAGGCAACCATAGGAATTGAGTCTCTTTCTCAGGTAACATTTAAGGATAGTGAAATCAGAGGCGTGGTTGAAGTTGAGGAGGCAGTGATTAGTGAGACCGTAGGGTGAAAATGACAACAGGGATACCAGTTAAGTCATTTCAGGTGGTAATATAGAAAGCCCTAACATTCTAACAATGCTAAATGTATGTGACAGATCTGGACTTTTATATATGTAATAGTTTAAGATGTTTTTATTTATGTACAAAATATTTACAGACACGCAACTTATTTACAATTGCATACTCTAAGATGTAAAACCTAACTGACATGACTCCATCCCAATAACAAATCAAATCAGGAATGGCTTTGATATGTAGGCGTGTTGCCCGTTGATAACCAAAATATCAAAACACGGTGGGTCCTAGGTAAAATATTTGTATGTCTGCACCCTGTGCTGACAACTCTGGTTCATATTTTGATTCATATTCTTAAATAAAATATTCACTTACTGTTCTGCTGAAACCATTGAGCATTTCTGGAGCTATCCAACCATCTGTGCCAGCTACGCCAGATCGTCTTGAGAAGGACATTCGTCCCAATTTTAATTTCTTACACAGCCCAAAATCAGATATCATAGCTCGAATTTCACCTTTTGCATTAGGCATGGACAGTAATACGTTGTGAGGTTTGATATCTCGATGAACTGCAAAACAATATACATGCTAACATGATGTTTAACTACGTTACATTTTTCATAGATCTCTAATGTTAGGATAATTTGTGCATGACATAATTTGTGAAGTTACAGAAGATCAGTTGGAAGGTACACTCAAATCTAGAGTGCACACATTTTTCAAGTGCATTATTTGCAAATCAGTATACCTAGTTGCCCTTCATTTATTGCAAAGCTAATCATAATACTGCATATCTGTAGCAATTAACTCCCTGAAGCAGAGTCCTTCCTGAGAAGCTATAAATTTGCTCAGCTTGTAAATAAATTCCCTGCTATTTATGGAAAACACATTTTCACTATTGTGTTCACAAAAGCCTGCTGATGGTCTCTATTCTCATCCAGATTAATTCAATCCACACCCCAAACCTTATTTCTTTAATACCTGTTTTAATATTCTCCTTCCATCTACACTTGGGTCTTATGAGTGGTCTCTTACTTTCAGGATTTCCAACCAAATTTTATATGCATTTTGTAACTCTCCCATGTCCCGTCATCTAATCCTTTTTTCCCACACTACTGCTTAAGGGTAAAAAATAATTTTACTTGTATTTAATTAAATATTCATTTGAAAATATTTTATGTCGCGTAGGTTTCTATACGTTGAGCCAGTTCTTAAAAAAACTGATACAAGTCGATTCAAATTCATGCAAAGTAGCTATTATATTAGACTACAACTTTCATAATTGGTAAATTTAAATCACTAAAGCCTTGGGAGTTGTGTCCCAAAGTTAGACTTAAAGAATGACACTGTGAAATAAAAGTATATCTGGGACTGAAATGAAACTCAAAAAATATAACAGTGTTACACATTTGATTCACCTACTAATGGTGCAGAATATGCTTAACTTTACCAATATCCAAAGAATGCAGATGTTCTAAGCCAGCTGTTGACTGGTGCAAAATTTCAAGAGCACTAAGTGTGGTGCAGATGAACTTCCCCTCAACATAATCTTGCAAAGTGGCAGCACATAACTCAAGTGCAATGTAGCGGAATTGTTTATCCTGCTCCATACAAAAGTACCGTACTACATTCCCATGTTCATCTGATTCTCGAAGCAAATCAACTTCACGATCTGCAAACGTGAAGCATTCTGGAAGCAGGCGCTTAACAGCCACGGCTCGGTTATCAAACATTCCTCTGGAAAATTAAATGAACAACCTAATATAAGCAAACAACAACCCACAATTCTAGAAAATATAAGTTTACGTGTATAGCTCCTGCTGTCACCTAAGCAGGATTATTTTACTTTCTGTTTTTAATGTTGAAGTATGTAAGTCATACTGTTGCATCCCAGTAGAATTTGGTGAAAGTGTAGTTCAGCTTGACATTAGTGTGGATAGACCTAACAGAGTTTGAGACACATAATGTATACAGGCATGTGCAAATAAGGAGTGACACTGGTGTGTAATCAGAACAGAGCTAAAGCAGCACTAATTAATTTTATATTGTTTAGTAAAATGTTCCACTGTTTGTTGTAACATTTCCTTTAGTGATCTTTTGCTATTAATTTCAGTAACTTTCCAGATAATAGTTACAAAAATGTCTTGTCTGAATTTTATATTGAACTGCCAATGAACAATTTTGGTTAAATTCAAATTAAGTTCTGCTAACAGCTTCAGACAGAACAAAGAAATGTGAATATGTACTCACTTAAATACAAATGTTCCTTCACAGCCATTGCCCAGTATTTCACTCGTATTGAAAGTAATTTTGCCAACTTGGACATTTCCACCACCAACATCCTCTGCCAGTGCAGATATTGCCAAGCTCTGATCACCTGATATTGATCTACTACTGGACTGTGAACCTTGCGAAAGTTGCTGGTATTCTCGTACCTTCAAAGTGCAGGAAAATTAATAGAAATGTGCCACAGGGAAAGATGTGGGCTACTAGAAAATCATTTAAGAGATATCAGAGAAATATTTGAACTTTTAGATGCTCCAAATTCCCAGAAAACTGTATATATGCATACACTAAATACAGTTTAAGACATAACAATATTTACAAGTTTGAAAAATATAAATATACATTTAAAAAAAAATTATTTAAGGGGTATAAAATATACAGACATTTATCCTACTTCAAATTCTGCTGGCTAATCCCTTATCATATGGGAATAGATCTATGTATTATGTATGGGCCTACTTCCTGGACTTTAAGCTCTGGGGTTAACAGTTTAGTGATGTGCCAGCACGACACGGCTAGCTGAACTACATGTAAGCTGCATCTTACATGACAACAGTTGACACAGCACTTTCTTCATTTCATAGCATACTATGAACCAGGGCTCAGAACAACATATGGAACCACTTAAGGGAGCAACATTGTGGTTAAAATGTCACTTAAAATTATTCCAAATCTATGTATTTCTAAATACTGATTTTGTTTTTATATTTCCATAGGCAAATGATGCTTATATCCATTAAACTTATTTAAATGTTCTCACAATTACAGTAATTCTCCATGTGTGGTTAGGGAAGTCAAAATGCATTTTCTTAAATTGACACTGCCTTCCATACAGTAATTCTACAAGACTAAGTGGACATGCTGTAAATTACCTGACCATTGTAGTACCAAAACATGGCAAATATGCAACCAACTAGCACAATGAGTGTCAACTTGAGACCCTTGTTCTCCTGTTGATTCAACCATAACTTGGCTGTTCCATATGAAAATGTAATGAAATCTTTGGATAAATAGAATGTGATGTTGCTGCTTGCCAGCTTCTCCCATGCTCCTCCTGGTTCCTTAGCCTGTGCTCCCAAATTCTGCTTCTCGTTTGTTCGCTTTTCTTCATTTTGTAACATGGACACCAGTGTCTCAACTGAACTTTTTACAGATTCTAGGTCTTCAGCTGTTCTCTCAGAACTTGTTTCATTGTCATCAACAATAACAAGACTTTCTGGAGTTGTAATTATTTTATCAGACCTTCCTGCTATTTGAAGAACAGTTTTAGTGTAATCTGGTACTTTGTAGTAGCCTGCAATTAATAACTACAATCATAAGAGGCATTTTGAAGATTAAGACAGTTTCATAACACTTCAATTTCCACTAAAAATGAAGTGGCTGCGTGACCATCAGAAAATAAAAATGTAAATAAATCAGGTGACCTCCACTGAGTGCCTACTATCTTTGAATGTGTATGAATTCCTGTTCACAACAGGAACACGCTTTAACTAATGACCAACAATCGTCACCATAATTAAAATACTTTAAATAATAGTACACATCATCATCATGACTTTTGTAGGGTCAGATCTTAAGGTCTGTTCCTACAAATCCCAAGACTGTTAAGTGTTGCTCACCTAAGAGTATTACTGGTTCAGTGATGTCATTCTTTTCCTTTGGCAAACTTTGAAATGTCAATGGAATGTCAACATGATTTGAGGACTGTGATAGCCTCACGTTATGACCTGGCAAAGGTAGTCCTGAACTACTGCTACTGCCATGGTACTGCAGTGTTGGCTCGTGATGGGATTGCAATTGAGATGGGCCTTCAAGAAGCAAAGTACCAGTCTGTGCTGGACCTATTGTTACTGTGTTTTGATCAACCAGAGAAGGAAGCGCATACAACCCATGAAGGTGTTCTCCAACATAAAGTGTCGGGCTGTCAAGAGAGAAAAAAAGGTGGCATAAAATAATATTTACCACAAAATACTATTCCTTGGGCATATTTTGTTAATGTACAGAAATTGGATATAGAACACTATTTGCAAAGTTAGTATTCTGAATGCCATTGTCAATAATTATTAAACCAGTACAGTACAGAGGCATAACTCATGGAACATGCAGGAATGATATCAGTATTTAAAAATGTAAAGATTAAAATATACAAAACTATAATTAAACTCGCTGTTTTGTATCACAAGAAGCTACCACCACTTCTGTCCATATCCCTACCAATTCATCATTTACTAATCATCTTATCATTTGACACTCTGTACTACGAACTACTGAAAGTATTGTTAAGGAAGCCATAAATAAAGATCACATACTTCTTTCAAACTAGGTAAATTTTATTTCAGGTCATCTGCACTATACGAGGCGCGTCCTCAAAGTAAGTTTCCCACTCGTCCCACAGCTAGCAAACCTTATATTGCGCGAAGCGACTGTGTGTACGTGATAGAGCAATGACGTAGCATGGCGCATGCGCTAACGGTACTTCCCGCGTTCTCACAATAGCATCGTTGCAGCTGTTGAAGATGGAGGTTCTTATTCCAGCTCCCGCCGACTGTGAAGTGCGGTCAGTGATAAGG